CACACACACACACACACACACACACACACACACACACACACACACACCCCAGGATAGCAAATGGAACAAAAGGCCACTGTACAGGAGGGCACTGTCAGCCCTCACTCATGAGGAACCCACTAGCTAAGAGATTTTTAAACCCCAAGGAGAGCTCGTCTTCCCCGACTCTCAAAACTCCCACTTGACAGTCGAAGTTCCCTTCACGGGCTTTGAGAAAACTCCTGGATCTAGCTGGCACAGATTCATGTATTTAATGTGAATATGGACCCTCAATTACCTGCTTCTCAAAATTAAGAAAAAGCAGTTACAGAAAAATGTAAAACCCGAGGACTATCAAACACATGAGCTGCTGCCGACTTGCAAATGAACATAGCAACATTCCTGCCGGCGTCAGTTCTCTCAAAATCTCAATCTCTGTTTGGAACAAAACGAGACACGAGTGGTGGTGGTGCACACCTTTAGCCCCAGCACTCGGGAGGCAGAGGCAAGCGGATCTGAGTTTGAGGCCAGCCTGGTCTAAAGAGCTAGTTCCAGGACAGGCTCCCAAGCTACAGAGAAACCCTGTCTCGAAAAACAAAACAAAACAACAACAAAAACCAAAAGCAAAAAAAAAAAAAAAAAGAGAGAGAGACATGGATAAAACAAGGCTGCATCCAGAAAGAAACGAAGCATTTTGGGGAGCCCAGCAGGGCAGCACTCGTCTGTCTAACACAGAGGTGCCATGCAAAGCCACACGGAACAGGTCCTATCTACCACGCAGGCAGCAGCTTCAACCAAGACTCGCTTGTTCAGTATCATGCTCCTCACTCCCAGCGCAATGATGGATGCTTTCCTTCTTGCCTGAAACTCAATCACACCAAGGCCAACTCCAGCCAGGCCTGCCCACATGGGCCACAGGACAGATTGAGTCCTAAGATGCTACACTTTTTAATGCACAGAGAGAGGCTTTCATGTAGGGACCCACAAGGAAGGATGAAACCATCCTAAAGCAACATTAAGTATAAACAAATGTATTTAGCTTTTTGGGGTGGAGAGGAAATAAGAGTCTCAGTATGTAATCCTAGATGGTGTCAAAGTCACAGAGACCTGCTCGCCCCTGCCTCCAGAATACTAGGACTGAAAGTGCTGTATGCCACCACCCTCAACTGCGTGTGATCTTGCATGTTTTCAGATTTTGCCAGTACTCAGTGAACAGTACAGGTTTAATCAACGGACGTCACATTTCTGATCAAGGGTTCCAAGCACAACGTCACAGAAATGATGGGAAAAACCAAAACGAATCCATTCTAACTGTAAGTAAAATACTCGGATTAACAACACACTTATAAGCCAAATGAGGAAATTTAGCAGCTGCTGAGTTTCAGTAGTGACACACGGAACAGAGCTGAACAGGCTGAGACGGGAAAGGCTCTGAGAGCACCTGGAAAGAACACAGGACTTTGGAGGCCGAATCTGGAAGCTACAGTAGGGGATAAATGGGTGGCAAGACAGGAAGAAGGTAGATACCAAGGCCTGAGCTTAGTGTCACTCAGTTGATGGGCCCTGGTACCCATAGGACAAACCGGTAGGACACTATTGCCCATAGGCCTCCTGGTCTTTGAAACATGTAACTAACCTCCGATCTGAGCCACGAATTAAAAATCAAGAGCTGACTTGTGCACGAAAGCAGAAACCAAGCGGTCTCAAAGGCAGCAGTAGGCAAGGTTAGGGCTCCAAGTGAGCAGAGAAGGGTACCTGAGGTATACTCTAGATCAGCATCATAGGATAGAAAGGGCGGTCAAGTCAGCTGGTGGCACTTCCCACTGTCATAGGCAGACTGACCACCAAACAGGCCTGTTCCATCCTGAGTGAGCAGTCAGCAAGCCAATTCCTAGTACAACTGATACAATGAGGCTTCCTGCTGGAAGAAATGTATCAGTCTCACATAAATTTGAGTATTAGATAAAGCTAGTAAGTGTGCACAAATCATTCCTAGAGGCTGAACATCCAAGTTTCAGATCTACAAGAGGTATAGAATACACAGAAAATAAGAACAAGGGCAAGAGAAAGAACAGGGCAAGGTCCACCTTTCTGTTTCTTACTTCCCACGGTAGAGACCCCACCGGGTTACTTAAACCAGCCAAAGGAAGTACCTGATCGAGCAATGCCACTGTCCCTGTCTTCATTCTGTCCTCTGCTGGGCATGTCAACCGGTGTGCTGTGTGCTGAGACAGAGAGACGAGAGAAGCGTTATGGACCAGGCTCTCCAAAGACAGAGACATTCAAAAAAATGACTTCATGTATGATTTCAGAGAGGGTTACTGGTATTGGCCTAATATATAATAGAGATTAACTAGATAGCAAATTAAATACATAAAAAGATAACAAGAAGAAAATCAACAAGCCATTTGCCTTTATGCCGGAACCTAAAGGCTCCTCTGAGTGACATGAACAAACCAAACCATTCATGCAGTTAATACAGTCAGCGGTCTATTTCAGCCATTTCTTCATTATTTGTAGTATTTAAACAGTACAATGGTTTCAAAATACTTTATAATTAATTAGTCTCAGTGATAGTTGCAGTCAGCTCAGGAAGAGAAATAGTGAAAAGTCATTTCATGAATCTAGACATGCTTACTTATAGTCAACTCTTTTTTCTAACAGATTTTTTCCTCCAATTCTTTTACCCATACAAGGTATTCGAGTTATTCAGAAAAACTCATGTCCTGGCAAAAATGTGGAAAACACTCTTAAGTAGCACATGCATCTAGAAGGCTTCAGACTGGTTGGGCTGCAGATTTACTAGGATGAAAGAGGCGTGAGAATGTGTCCTAGAAAAGCTTATAAAGAACAAGAAGCCACTGTGTGCCTGGACATCATTCTTGCTAGCGTTTATCTTCCAAGTTTTGAAGAAAGTATATAAACAAGCTATACGTGGTCTAAGTAGCAGGGACAGTAGACCAGTTCCACTGGGCATCAGAGAACTGTGATATGTGTGTGTGTGTGTGTGTGTGTGTGTGAGAGAGAGAGAGAGAGAGAGAGAGAGAGAGAGAGAGAGAGAGAGAGAGAGAGAGAGAGAGATCAGGCTATAAAAAGGAACAGAATGAAAAATCCTATTTGCCTTCCTCACAACTTTAAGTTGGTCCGGAAGATGGCTCACAGTTGCTAGTCATGCTACAACAGACACTTAACAGCCTCTGCTGGCAAGGCCAGGTACATCTCAGAAAGCACCCACAATATCAAGATGACTACACCTGTAAGGAACCTAGACACTGCATTTAAATACTTTGAGCAAGTTAATATGAGAGAGAGAGACCTGATTGAGCCCTCCCATGCTTCTAACAGAGTGACTTAGAAACTCCATGCAGGTAAGGGTGCAGGTGAATAGATGGATAAAAGATGCCACAGCAAAGAGAACAGCTCACAGCAGCAGAGGCAGCCTAGGAGAATCAGAAGAAATTAATTCTCCTAGAAACACAAAGGGCTCATTTCAGATCAAAACCAGCTCGCTCCCATTTGGACCATTAGCAACAAGGTGGAACCTCGAAATAGCAGGACTCTGGTTGCATTTAAAACTAGTATCTCCTGCCACAAAAGCCCTTTGGGTTTCTAGAGAAGAATAAATGGATTTCTGTTTTTCTAGAACCTGCATAGGAGTTTTTAACGTGTGGGCCACACTGAGCTCAGCATTCCACACAAACCTGCAAAGAAAGAAGCGCTGCGGGTGAGCCGGAGCGGTCCTCCTTCGGACACCCCCTGCAGCAGTTTGCCGCTGCACGCCTGCAGCAGACCTAGAGCAGAACACACAGAAGACGCAGGGCACACACACAAATAAACACGGGTTAAAGATAACGCGAAACTAAACCCAAAACACAGCAAACTCAAATAAAGCAAAACACGCCCCCAACAGCAGCAATCGGGGAAGGTCTGTCAAGTGTCTCGTTTTACCTAGGTTACTTCCAGCGCGACAAGGACCCAGACTGTTCTGATTTGTGTTCAGTTTTCCAACCTGAGGATCTTGGTTGATGTATTCAAAGCTGTCCTGCAGGCTAAATCAAGATGGGGATGGGGAGGGGGACATCAAGAAGTTAACAAGTTTCTTTTTTAATAGATTCCGAACTACAGACAACGACTCGACAGTCTCTCAAAATTTTTCTTTATGAGAATAAAGTTTCACATCGACCAAGGGGAGTAAAGATGGGAGGTTGGGAGGAATTTGTTGGAGGAAAATGAAAATGTTTTGAAAGTGCCCAGTCCACATGACTACCTACGCAACTGCATTCATAACCACTGCGTATCTGAAATGAGACACCAAACTCTAACGCTATTCACTTCAAGGGTTTTCAATGAAGACTCAAAATGAATTAACTTTAAATCTTGGCTAATATCTATTAACAATTCTGCAGCTTGTTTCACGGGGAGGACATCAGAAATTATGATCCACTTTAAGAAAAGTAGAAGCACTCCTGAAGATGGGCAGGGCAGATTCCTTAAATGTATTATTTTAGAAAGACACTAAATACCAATACTTTGAAGAGAAATCAGTACAATAAAATTCAAATAATTTCTTAGTTAAATCTGAGTTCAATGTTTTATTACAGAGAGTTAGTGGGGTACACAAATATTTAGGTTATTCCAAAGACATGGAAAAACACTCATAAAAAACAAATGTCGCCTAGGTATGGTAGTGTATGCCTATAATTCCAGTATTCCCAAAGTAGAGGCAAAAGGACCTTGAGTTCCCTGCCAGCATGGGCTCCAGCTGTCATAGACTGTATCTGAGCAGCTCCTATCCCCAAAATAAGAAATAAAACACATCAAGTCCCATATAAGCTTAAGTCATAGTGTTCCAAAGGAAAGTGTGCAAACTATCTTGTTGAAAGGTAAGCCAAGAGTTACCCAGTTGTACCAAAATATGCAGTGGAAAATATATTTAACTTTCTAGGGTTATCAAGAAAAACTGCCTTCATTTTAATACTAAGCATGCTCCTGAATTTATGCCCTTATAAAAAGTCATTTATTTCATTAAAAAAAATAAACTGAGCAGGGTGGCTCTTACTGTAATCTCAGCACTTAGGGGGCTGAGGCAGGAGGTCCAGGGGTTCAATGCCATTGTATGGACTACATAGTTGAGTTTTGGCCATTCTGAGTCACAGAGTTCCGGGCTAGCATAAGCTATATAATGAGTTCAAGACCGGCCTAGGCCTGTAACAGTGAGACCCTGTCTCAAAAAATAAACAATATACCAATCATCTCTGCTTGAAAGCTCAAAGTGCATAAAGAAATCTTCCTGATAGGAGCCTAGACGTTCCAGGATTAGCCTTATAGGAAAATGTAAGGGGAGGAAGGGATGGGGGTATATAAACTAAGGACCTGACCGCTCCGAGGTATGGCTGAGGGGAAGGTTTTTATCGTAGGTATGTGCAAGAGTAGAGCCAGACGCATCTGAAGAGTTGAGAGCAGAGAAAGTAGTCAACAGAATATGGTCAGCAGACTGGACTGGGCCAGGAGAGGGGGGCAGGGATGAGAGAGGATGATAAAGTATGGGCAAGGGGAGGGGGGAGGGGAGGAGGGAGGGAGAGAGTATAGCCACAAAACCAGGGGTATAAGAAGAGTAGCTGAGGGAGGGCAGCTCCCATTTGTGATACTGGAGGAGCCTGGAGGCCAGCGTGTGCTTGGTATGCTAACAGGCACCAGACAGCCATGGGCCCCTCTGTCAGTGAGAAGGAAATGGTCTCTTTGGTGGAGGGAATGGAACTAGAATTTGGGCAGGTGGAGTTTCCTCTGGGCCTGACAGGAGGGACCAGAAATGGAAATAAAAAGATTGCATGGCCCAAGTACCTATCAGCCACAAAGGTAGCCTGACTGCAGACTGGAGGACTATACTACTTCACTCTTCCCAAGGTAAGTTACTGAAGCTGGGAGTGGGGGCTCACAACTGGAATCCCAATATTCAGGAGGCTGAAACTGAAGAATAACCATGAATCTGAGAGGCTGGGCTAGACCCCGTTCCCCCTACACCTGAAAAGCAGCCCTGTCCTCTTCCTGTCTTCCTGAGAATCAAAACTTGGTGACTGACAGCAGGAACAGAAGAGAAGAACAGACGCATACCCAAACAAGAGGCATTCGTCAACCTGGCAATAGAATAGTTTCGTTTTCCCTGGTATACATGGGCTCTGGGTTCACTCTCTAGCACCCTATAAATCGGATCCAGTACCGCACAGCTACTACCCCAGGACTCTGAGGGAGAGGCAGAAGGACCAGGAGCTCAAGGTCATCCTCAGCTACACAGCAAGTTCCAGTTGAGTTCAAGGTCAGCCTGGGACTTTGAGACCTTTTCTCAAAACATAGACAAAAATCATCTGTCTTTAGGGCCACCTGAGAAAAACCCAAAGTTTGTTTTTTCACTTGCTGTTATTAGAAAATGACTAAAACCTCTTTGCTGACCTGTACTTATCTTGTTATTCATTTAAAAATGTCTTACAGCCCTCAACGAATTTACCTAGCAAGAGATGCATCAAAATCATAGGGCAGGGGTGCAAAATTCCACACTTACTTATTTGTGCTTCCGCAGAAGCTGCCCATTCGAGCTGAGAAGACTTTACTAATCATCAGTTGAGGAGGAGAACTGAAAGACAAGAGGGGAGACAGGCGTTCTGTAGGTTAGGAAGCCGGCATCAGCCTTCCGGGTCTCGCAGCCTGTACAGGGGCAGCCTCACCGTATGTAGTGTATCTTCAGGGTGGAGCCTTTGTAGCTCATGGCCACAGAACCGAACATCATCTCCCCCAGCATGTTGACATCAGACGCTGGTCTCGTGTACTGCGCACGGAAATCAGCCAGTCAGAGCACACCACGGAACATGGCAATGTTTTACTACCATTGGTTAACACAGCACTGCCTGCTAATCTTTGGGTCTATGACTGAGCGGGCTGACAGTATCTTAAAGCTACAGCTGCCCATCTCACCATTGTCAACACAGGGATTACCTGATAAAGTTCACAAATATTGCTATATTTTATTTCTTCCCTATATACAACGTGCTCACACAACAATGACCACTCCTCTCCATTTATAAGCTCTAACTCTGGAAGAAACAGGCTATCTCTTTGGGTACGTAGATCCTGACAAGAAACATGGGTTAGTATTATCCAACTAAATAATTACGTGTGGTCATCTGAGTGAGAATTTCCTCCATAAGCTCAGGTGTCTGAACATTTGCTCACCCGTTTGATGTGGGATTCCCCTCTGTATGCTGTGAATATGTTTTATTACCACTGGTTAAGAAAGAATCTGCTCTGGGGCTATGGCAGGGCAGAATAGAGCCACGAGGGAAATCCTAACAGAGATACTGTGAGAAAGCAGGTGAAGTCAGAGAGAAGTTATGTAGCTGCTGAAGGAGACAGACGCCAGAACCTTACCCAGTAGGTCACAGCCTCATGGCAACACACAGATTAATAGAAATGGGTTAATTCAAGATGTAAGAATTAGCTAGAAATACGCAAAAGTCATTAGCCACACAGTGTTGTAATTAATTCAGTTTCTGTGTGATTAATTTCAGTCTGGGTGGCCAGGAAATGAACAAGCAATCTCTACCTACACCAGCTGATGCTCCAGTAGGTTTGGGATGTATGCCCTTCTGAACACTCATTCCGCTGTAGGCACAACCCAGCTCATTTCTCATATTCCCTACTAATAAATTCTACCCACCCTCTCCGTTTCATAATTTGCCCTTTCTCGGTACAAAGACCATGTGCCAACCGGGATTCTCAACTAGTACCAAGCACTGTAAAATACAGGCAAATGCACCACACAAATCTTAAAATTCAAGGCTTATTCACCTGTGGCTGCTGGTAATCACCATGGCCTTATTTAACCAGCAACAGTAGAGATTATATTCTGGACAGGTTCATAAGATAAGAACAGAGAGGGCTGGGAGATGGCTTAGCAATTAAAAGTACTGATTGCTCTTCCAGAGAACCTAGGCTCAATTCCCAGCACCCACTTGGCAGCTCACAAACTGTAACTCCAGTTCCAGGGGACCTGACTCCCTCACACAGACTTACATCCAAGTAAACAAACCACCAATGCACAATGCGTAAAATAATAAAACATTAAAATTAAAACAATAAACAAACCAGAAAGATGGTTATTGTGCCATGTGCCTACAATCCGAGCACAGGGGAACTTGAGACAGGAAGATTTGACATGGCCTCCATGGTGAGATCATGCCTGCCTGGGTTACTACAGGGGGGAGGATGTGTCAAGTTCGATGTGGTGCACACCTGAAAATCTCAGAATCTGGGAGGTAAAGTCAGGAGGATCAGAAATTCAAGGTCATCCTCAGCCATATAGCCAGTTAGGGGCCAGCCTGGACCACTGAAGACCCTGTCTCAAACGAGCAAAAACAACAAAGCAACAGCACCTCTCGAGACACTCGTGCCCACACTTACGGCTGTTCTAGAGACAACGAGTCTTACTTGGTACTTTGGAAGCTGCTCCTTAGCGTGCTGTAAAGATCCTCCAGAGCTGTGGAACGAGCCACCGCCGCCGCTGCCGACACTCCCGCTTTCCTGACAGCACCTGGCTGACATTTTAACAGGGACATCCTCTGCTTTCTGGATGAAGAAAGGCAGGCAAGAGTGTCAGGCTTTACCAACACTCTATCAAGTGGAAATCTGTCAAAACATTCGGGTGCCTGAATGGCATTAAAAAACAAAAGCTCTGTTTAATTCTTCTTTATGATGACAAAATCATTCCTGGGAGTCTGGGACAGCAGGGAAGGGGGAATGTCGGCACAGACACAGACATGATAGACAGAGACTGACCGAGACAGGGGGATAGCTGATAAACTATTTAAAGAGTACACTGTGTCTGTTAGTATTTACATTAAAAATTTACACTGTAAAGTCATAGACAAATACTACTCCCTGTTACAGATTTTAAGAGATTTTAGTATTATGTAGTCTTAACACATGGAACTGATGAGAAAAATGATCACAAACTTACGAAATTTTACCAACTAAATGTTACTGAGAAAAGAAACCTATTAGCCTGGGTGGGCGGGCTTGCGTTTCTTTCTTTCCTTTTAATATTTATTTATTGATTGACTGATTGATTATGCATACAATATTCTGTCTGCGTGCATACCCGCAGGCTAGAAGAGGACACCAGACCTCATTACATGTGGTTGCTGGGAATCGAACTCAGGTTCTTTGGAAGAGCGGGCAATGCTCTTAACCCCTGAGCCATCTCTCCAGTTCCCCAGGCTTGCGTTTTTCATACTTCCTTCTAGCACTCCATTACAAGCTCAGGGAAAGAAACCACCAGCATGACCTTGTGAAAGGTAAAGCACAAACCCTGAGACAGGAGCTACTGTGAACCCCAGAGCGTGTGATGGAAACGTGGTCTTTAAAGGTCAGAGGTAATGAACCCCAAGTGCTCCCTGCTAATGTCTATGACACAAAGGATAAGGATACCCTCGCCCGCCCCCAGGAGAGAACACTCCCTCCAGAGCAGCCTTCCTGAGAAATGACATCTGCAGAGTCTCCTTGGCCTCCTCCCTCCCTTCTTCTGCCGCCTTTGCTTGGGAACCCAGGAATGCAGCTTATCTAATCTCAGTGTGACTGTCGTGCTGGTGGTCTAAGGCACATGCTTGCCGTCATGCGCCATTCAAACTCATGGGGTTTTGTGCTTATCAAGGGGATGAGGTTGGGCAGCGGCTGGACTGGAAAAGGAACGTAAAGAGAACACAAGATGTGCTGGTCTCCAGCAGGTACTGCAGCAGCGATGGAACCTGAGGTTGTGCAGGGTTAGTCCTGAGCATCCTGCACGCCTGCCCTCGGCATGCTCTTCAGCTCCAACTGCCACTTAACACCTCTTAAACCAGAAACAGCCTCTCAGAGGGCTGACAGCTATGACAGGAAGTACCACCTCCGGGCAGACTGCAGGAGCACAGGGCAATGAGCGTGGCTGGAAACAGCACCTGGTACAGGGGGCGGGCTACCAACTGGCTTCTCCTGCCGTCTTTGGCAAGCTACAAAAATGTTCCTGAGCCTATGATGCCTTTTTTAATTACAAGAATATGTCTAAGAAATCAGTATCGGAGATGATCAAGCTATCCGATGATCAAGTTACCTCTGCTGGGGTATGCTGACTAACTCCAGTCCCCTGTGAAAATCATTTCCCCTCTTAACTGCCACCATCAGCAGCTCAGCCTTCTGGCTGAAGCATTGGGTAGAGCCCGCTCCTGTCCAGTAAATAAGGGGATCAAGTGCTGGCTCACCTAAGCTTCCAGTCCCAATCTGCCATTAAAGCTTACGTGAATCATCCGAGAGATTTCTCAGCTTTCTCCTCCACCCACCTACCAAGCCCAGCCACTGGTATAATGATTAGCAGTCTGGCAGAAATTCCTCCTAAGTGCTGCGGTATCCACCCGGTTCACCGCCGTCAACCAAACATTTCCTTCCTGCAAACCAAGATTCTTATCAAAAGCTGGAAAACAAGGGCCAGCGAGAAGGCTCAGCAAGGAGAAGCACTTGTCCCACGAGTCTCTCGTGGCGATGTATGATCCCTGGGGCCCACCTAAAGGGGGGAGAAGAAACCAACGCCACAGAGCCATCCTCTGACTCTGCACAGCCCCACAAATCATTTCTAGGAACTAAAGCTGGAGAACGGCCCACTGGCCCTGGTGAGACAAAGGCCACGCTGTAACTGTTCTTTTACTGAACCACAATCTACAGACTATCAGAATCTGGTCAGTATGGGAAGCGAGTAATTAAAGAAAAGAGGGAGTACCCGTGGCTATATTGAATCTGTAAGCATCTGAACAAATACTGAAGAGAATGGTCTAGCTGTGGCAACAGATTAGAGGTATCCTGGCTGATATCCAGAGATCAGGGAGGGCAAGGGTCTTCCCAAATGTTTTTATCTTTCCTGGTCTGGATCAAACAGGTCAAGATTCTTCCGGTCTGGGCTGGAGAAATGGCTCAGCGGTTAAGAGCACTGACTGCTCTTCCAGAGGACCCGGGTTCAATTCCCAGCACCCACATGGCAGCTCACAACTGTCTGAAAATCCAGTTCCAGGGGATCTGACACTTTCACACCAATGCACATAAAATGAAAGAAAAATAAATCACAAAAATTTAAAAAAAAAAAAAGATTCTTCCGGTCTTCAGTGGTCATCCCAAGTCCCTCCCACACCTCCAGCTCCCATTATCCCCCCCCCACACACACACACACAACAGGGAAATTAAGGAAAGCTTCCTTGGTCAGAAGGGTAAGGTGACAGTGCACACGTGTACAGAAAGTGCACACGCGTGTGGACAGTCTACGTGCATACAGACAGTGCACACACGCACACTGAGGCCCTCCAATGAGGAGGCCTTTTCATTCAGTTTGAACATGTGTTACAAAACATTTATGATTCATTTTGGTTTTTGAAACACGGGTCTTACCATGTAGCATAGGCTAGCCCCAAATCACCATCTTCCTACCTCAGCCTATCTAGTGCTGGACTACAAGCACAATCCACACTTGGTACCTTTGTCTATGAGAAAACCAGGACAGAATGACCTTCTCTTCTGGCAAATACTCTAGAGCTTCATGGATCTCAGCAATGTATTTCCTACTATGCTTACAAAGTCCTACTGATCACACGCACCAGCAAATGCGTCTTTTCTGGGTGACAGGGTTGGCCTACCGTAATTGCTTGTTAAGTTTCACCCATGCTCATGACACACGCTCGCCCATTGGAGTGCAAGCTTTGCTTGTTCTTCTGAACCCTTGCTGGCCCGGTACCACACAGCTCGAACGGAACACAGACGGTGGAGAGCCCACCGGCATTTCATACCTGAGCAGCTGCCTGTTCCGTCTTCTGAACGGCTCTGGAATCAAACATGACCTGTCTGCCTCTCCTCTCACAGTCCTGGTACACTATCAGGCGAATGTCGCTCAGGTCCAGCTCCGAACATGACCAACTGTGGATTCAAAAGAGAAAGGAGCTAGGTTGTCTTCAGTGGCTTGGTGCCATCACGAGCAAACACGATTTCCAACCAGAGGCCTTTGTGCCAGCCAGAAAGTGGCTGTGCGAATAGTACCGGCCCTCAGGGGAGGCGGGACTGGTGTAGGGAGAAATCATTGGAGAGAAAGCACTGCCTTCCAGAGCCAGTTGGGGCACAAATGGCAGAGAGAAGTTGCAAGGACACACAGAGAGGGCTGTGGGATGCCTGGGTTCTGGAGAACGCACCAGGTAAGGAGTTAAGAGAGTTGTTTATGCTTCTATGGACTCAGGAATGAGAAGCCAGCCACCACTGCTCAGGCGGAACTAGCAGTTACACAGCCTAAGGTTTGTGTACTTTCCCTGTATGTCTGGCTTGATGCAGAGGCTTTGAAACCAAATGCATTTGCTAACCATCATGGTTAGCAACGAGGGAAACAGTTTATTTCTAAAAGGCATTAAGGAAAAAAAAATGCAGGATTACACAGTAGCAACAATTCTATTAGAAAGCAGAAACTAGAGAAAGGAACAACTCACAGAGTGCTCCCAGCACACGGCGAGCAATCCATTCAACTCGCATTTAGTCTGTATTGTAGTCGAGGCGCTGTAGGTGCTAAGGAATCAATCAAACTGGCTAGGGTCCCTGTCCTCGTGAAGTTCAAGGCTTACTGAGGGATATCAATAACCTAATAGTTACACAGAAATATACAACTACAAACTGAAGTTCAAGGAAGAAAACTAGAGGGTACGAGAGTCTCCGAGCCTGGCGTCCGTCTCAGGCTCGCTTCTACAAGCTCGGCACTCAGGAGACACCAGCCTGGTTACAACCTAGCAAGACCGTGTCTCAAAAAGGTGAGATTTAAGGAGTGAGGGGGACAGAGAAGTCACTGAGGATTTAAAGCGACATTTAAATGCAGACCTGAAGAATGAACAGCTCACATGAATACCGCAGAACACACAGAAATGTAGCACAGGAAAGGGAGAGAGGAAAACCAGAGAGCTACTCCCCAGCCCCGTGGGTGTGGAGGGGGTGGGAGAGCTGAAGCAGGCCCAGACAGGACGGGCTCCGAACACAAAGAGCAGTCCAGGAAATTGACATTGATAAGAGATCAGATAGCTGCTGCCCTAAGAAAACCCGGAGGTGGGAGTGGACGCACAGGGAGCCAAGACGCCAACATCGCCTGCTGCAAGGTGTGAGGACCAGCAGCAGCAATGCATCCGGCTTGAATCTAGAGGATTAAGGTAGAATCTAGATGTGCCTGAGGCAGAAGGGGTGCCAACTGCTCCGGCAGACTCCGCTAGAGGGCATGGGGAAGACAATGACCGGGTGGGTGACAAATGGGCAGGGGATAAAGGAGGGACAGATGGAAAATATCTAAGTAGTAGACTGTGTAAGTATGGCCAGACACAGCTGGAGTCAAGTCCAAAAGTCTTCACCTTCCACTTTGCCACTGGAGTAATCAGTGTAGAACTGCTGACTTCACAAACCTGTTGCGTGGATTAAATAAAATACATAAAGGGCTTCACACTAGCCTGACACACACACGAACTCCAACATGCTAAGCTCACTCCCGGGAGTGAGAGGGCTGGTTTCTGTGAGAAGCTGGGTTGCCTTTGGTCCTTCCCTGTTTCAGGCAATACCGACCATGTTACTGAGGGAAAGCAAGAGGATTTGTTCTCCTAAACACCAGCTGCAAAACAGAGAAACTTCTGGGCATCCCTTCCTTCACCAACATGTTTTCTAAGCTGTGCTTGGCACCCTTGCCCCCTGACGCGGAACACTGCGACAAATTTACTTTGGAAACCATTTTTCCTCTGCCCTCAGTCCAGGGGAAGCCCGTGTCTAAGGTCTGACCGATGACACATGCATGCCACATGACTCCAAGCTGGCAGATGGGAGCCACAGCTCACAGCCCAGCTATCGTGTGGCAAGGGGCTGTTAGGTGAAGTCATTGTGGACGAAAGCACAAGAGCAAAGGCATGAGACCGATTCCCGCTGGCTCTGAAGACCAGCTGGCCCTCTGTATATGCTATTTTTGGAGAGTTCTGTCAAAATGAGGTCTGATGACTACGACCCAAACTGCCAAATTTAAAATCTATACAAGGCTATTAAAACTCTCTGGCTAGGTGTGATGATCCTAACAGAGGCAGGTGGATCTCTGAGAGATTGAGGCCATCCTGGTCTACATAGTGAGCTCCAGGACAGCAAGAAGTACACAATACGGAGAACTTGTCTAACAAAAACAAAACAAAAAGACAAAGAAAACCATAAACAACAACAACCCCTCTGAAATGTGTGTAAGGCCCAAGGGCTGGGGCTACAACTCAGTAAGAAGGTGCTTGCTTGGCATTTGTGAAAGCCCTGAGCTCCATTCCAAACCATAAAACAGACAATACACAGGGTGAGGTTATTAAAAGTAGGAAAAAGCAACAAAGATTTAATCACTACTAGGTATGGAGCACATATCTTTAATCCCAGCACTTAGGAGGATGAAGACGACAGACCTCTGGGAGTTCTAGGTCAGCCTAACTGACGAGGATGTTCTGGGCTAGCCAAGGCGACAAAAAGTGAGACCCTCTCTCAAAACAAACAAACAGAGAAGGAAGGGAGAAAGACAAGGACCTAGTTCCTTGATAGTATCTGTACAACCCCTACTGCTCAGAGAATTACATCTGCCAAAGCGGCAGAGCTTACACAGCAATCCTTGAGGGCGACCCCTTAGAATTTCAGCTAGGAGAAAAGATAATATCTCTGGAATTCAAATTCAAATAATCAGCATAACATTTTATTAGATTCACGTTCTTTCTCACTTAAAAGACAGGAGATAGTTGGGCAGTGGATGACACATGCCTTTAATCCCAACACTCGGGAGGCAGAGGCAGGCAGATCTCCGAGTTTGAGGCCAGCCTGGTCTACAGAGAGAGTTCTAGGGCTACACACAAAGAAACCCTGTCTCAAATAAATAAATAAATAAATAAAAATAAATTTAAAAAGGGGCAGCTGCTTGATGCAGTGGTATTAGGACTGCAAATTTGAGGCCAGCCTAGACTCTATTCTAGGTCTGTTTGGACTGGAGAGCGAGACCGTGTCTTAAAAAAGAAAAATAGGAGATAAGATAGAAGCAGAGAATAGAGGAAGAGAAGGGGTGTGTGTGTGTGTGTGTGTGTGTGTGTGTGTATCAGATTATCCAACTTTTTTTTTAACTCAAATATCTTCAAAGTATTTCATAAAAGGAGAAAAACTCCATTCTCCCATATGAATATTATTTTGGTTTAACATCCAGTCAGCATCATTTTGGCATCTGCCATCTGAAATGTGCCTAGAGGAAACCATAGCCAAGTATGGTGATGTTATGTTCTGGAATGAGACAAGCCTGCTCCATTGCCTTCAGAAGGTCTCTGGGATGACACCTACAGGAAGAGAGAAACAAGAACACCCACTCCCTTGAGTTGCCCTCTGCTCTCGTGTGCTCCAACAGGTACACACACCTACAAGCACTAAACCTAAGTTCAGACGGGGACAATAAAAACTTTAAATGGTATGGTGCCGTGTGCTTGGTCAGAACGCCTTATTTCTCAACTCCACACCAACAAAAGTACAAAGCAAGTTACCAACACATGAATTATTTTCCTGAAAAGTAACAACAGCAATAATGCAAAGGATTTGAGGCACAAAAAAAAAAAACCACCATCTCTTTAAAGTATAGATGTGCTATAACCCAAACTAGGAAAATTCAAGATCAGTCTGGGCTATAGAATAAGACTCCTTCTCAAAAATAAAAACAAAATCACACCAAAAGAATGATTATACACACACACACACACACACACACACACACACACCATGTACTGTAACAAAACTATGACTAATACCATGCTCCCCCAAACCGTTAAAAAAAAAAAAGAAAGAAAAAGAAGTAGAAGAAATAAAAGATAAGCTGTAGCCCTAACTCCAGCACCCACGAGTCAGACCTTGTTTAGAAATAAAATGTTTGGAGATGAAGAAGATGAGGTGCGATCATGCTGAATTAGAATGGGTGCTAATCTCACGACGGGGTCCTGTAAGAATGGGATTTGGACACAGACACACAGGAATGTTCTGCTGCTGAAGACAGTCCAAACACCAAAAGACAAATGGTGCCCTATCCAATTCCTGGGGGCATCAAATGTGTCTCCTGCTGGACTCGTGTGCCAAACGCGCCCGTGAAGCCGGTTTAGAACGTGCATGGACTTTAAATACTCAGCCAGTGAATGTTTTTCATTTTCTACGTAATGACGCACTGACTCCTAAGAGAGGGGTTGACGTGATCTTAGGTAGAGGTCTGCTCTTAGGCAGAGGAGAACATCCTCAGGGCAGAGGCAACGCTATCAAGGACCTGTGGTTTCAAAAAAGAACACCTCACAAAGAATAGAATGGTCATTATGTATTTTGCCGCACATAATCCGCTATCCCCCACACCCCAGACCAGGTCACTTCCTTGGGTTTATACCTCCCTTAAACTGTTACAATAGTAAGATGAGCAGTGGCCTAAGTGTGCCCAGGGCAGAAGCCATGATCTATGGTTCTCCTCTGGGTCTCACACAAGGAAGTAAAAATATACAGTCAAAGTAAACATACAGGAATAATTGAAAGGCAGTCTTGTGTTCCAACAATGTCAATATTTAAGGAATCAGATAGGATAGGGAACTTTAAATGGTCCAAGAAAATGTTAAATAAGGCAATACTGAGCAGGCATGGTGGTACATACTCATAATGCCAACCCTCAGAAGACTGAGGCAGGAGGATCACCAGTTTCAGCCAGCCTGGGCAACACAGTGAGACCCTGTCTCAAAAACACCAGTAATAAGAGCAGAGAAACTCGTAGCTACTCATCCATTTAACAGGCAATTCCTGTCTGCTCACTGTGTGCCAAGCAGTGTCCCAGGCACTGGGACAAGGTTGAGTAGATTATGACCTCTGGTGCCATAAAGATTACTGTA